TCTGGGGCTACAGATGTGGAAGTGGCTAGAAGCCTGACTAGCAATTGGGGAACAAGAGTCCGTCCTGGAGACCTTGGGGAGGAAAGCCCTTTTGTAACTCACAGCTACTGGGCTCAGGACGGGCCGCGTGAGCTCTGGACATGGAAATGCCAAACTCCTGCAGTTCCAGATGCTGGAAGGAAATGGCCATCTGTGAGCACCCACTCTTTGCACGCACTCTGCAAACACTGTCTCTTTTTTTCCCCAACCACTCTGCAAAGGTGGGATCTGTGGGCCTCCCTGGTGGTGCAGGGGTAAGTCTCAGCGCTATCAAGCTGTCGCCAGCCACGGCGCCTGATGGCCTGAGCTATGGGCCCATACTAGGTGCCTGTGCTGTGCAGGCAGGGACGCCCAGAACCCCATCGACCACCCAGGGGAATAGATCTGATCCCCACTTACAAAAGAGGACACAGGGCTGAGTGGGGTCCCTTCCCGAGATCCCTTGGTCAGGTGGGGTCCAAGCAGGGCTGAACCCAGCTCTGCCCCTTCCTACCTCCCTGGGCTGCGCGGAGGCAGGGACCAGGAGAGAAGTCTGGACCAATAAAAGCTAATTCCAATTACAGGGAACACTTAGTGGCTGTGTGTATCCGGATCTGTTCCAAGTGATCTGCACATATTAGTATATTTATTTCTTGCAATACGAACCCCACGGGAGGTCAGATAGGTGCAATTATCGACAGCCCCTTACAGGTAAGGAAACTGAGGGGCAGAGAAAGGGAGCAAGTAGCCAGCTGGGCAGAAACTGGGCTGGAAGTCAAGCCCCGGCCTTCCAGCTGCTGCCCCTCAGTTAAAGGAAGGGGCAGGGGCTGGGGCTGGGCCAGCTGCTTCGCCTCAGGGCTGGGGCCAGGGAGCAGGTGTCCCACCCACTGGCAGGGTCTGGCCTCAGAGGGCGCTGGCCTGCAGTTCCAATGATGGCCACTAGATGGCGGGGCAGCCCAGGCGACGGTGCATAGGCCAGAGGCTTCAGGGGAGGCCAGGGCGTCTCCCATGGGTGGGCAGCCCCGACTGACCGCCCGGGAAGCCGGGCATCTTGGGTCTGCTGTGGCTGTGGTGAGTCAGGCTGCGTTGCAGGCCGTGGTCCGGGTCAGGAGCAAGGCTCTGCTGCCGGTGAGAAAGCAGCAGAAGTGGCCCAGGCCCAGCATGCGCTCCCGGAAGAATGAGGGGGCCTGGAACTAGGGGTGAGGAGACACTGGGGAGGGGGCCCCCCCCCGCAAGGGCACAGCCTCCTCTCCCCGCCCTGGTCCAGGCCACCGTGCCTTGTGCCAGTACTGTAGCAACAGCCTACTGACTCTCCCAGCCCCCCTCCTCCTGCCCCCCCTTTCTGCCCTCACCCCAACTCTCCCCCTTCCCCACCTCCTACACTTGGCAGCAGAATGACCTTTAAAATGCAAGTCAGACACGATCCTGCTCAAAGCCCTCAGCCTGCCAGTTAGCCGGGAAGCACTGAGAAGAGCAGCGGCCTCCTGGCATAGCTGATGTCTTTTTTTTTTTTTTTCCACAGATTTAGTTCTTATTTTGTTTATTTTTTTAAAGATTTTTTTATATATATATACAAAAACTGGGGTGTAGGCCAGAGGTGCAGGGGGAGAGAGGATTCACCAGAGACAGAGCAGGGAGCAGAAGAGGTAGATTGACCGAAGTACACTGCTGAGGGGAGCAGCGGGCGAGCCAGGAGAGGTCTGCTGTGCCATGTGCATTGCTCCCTGGCCGTCCGGGGGATCGAACCCGTGCTGTAGAGGCTGCGGACAGCTTCGTAGGTTGTGTCTTAACTCATTGCGCCACCAGGGAGGCCTCCGTTTTTCTTTTTAACTCTACCTTAATTTCCCACTATATTTTTTAAAATCTAGAACATGGGGTGCCAAATATGGGCCTGTGGGCCAAAACCAGCCCACCGTGCCAATCCCTGAGGGCTGTCTGTGGTGCTCTGTGCTACGAGGGCAGAACTGTAGTTACAACAGAGGCCAGGTGGCCACAAAGCTGAAAATACACTTACCATCTGGCCCTGAAAGTCCGCCAATTCCTGACCTAGAACAATATACATTTTAATAATCTCCCCAGACCTGTTTTAGATTGGGGATAAAAATCAGCAGTCAAACAGATGGATGCGTAGACAGATGAACACACAGCTGTCGCTGTCAATTCTGGGCACAATTCTGGGTTGTCGAGAACCATGTCCCAAACCTTAGTTCTCCTTGAATTCAGAAAAGCTGGGAAGCCGGGACGGAGCCAGACTGCAGAGAGCAACGGGCGGGGCCGGAGACCCACTTTGTGCCGGCTGGGACATGCTTGAGTCCCAGTGATCACGGCCGCCAGAAAGCACAAGCTCTGGCCACCAGGGGCTGCTGGGAATTCACACGTGTCGCTCCTGGGACAGCCCGAAGAAGAGGGTTGAGACACGGAAGCACAAAAGGCAGAGTAGCTCACCGAATGGCCCAGAAGCGGCAGTGGCAGAGCTGGGATTTGAACCCAGACCCCAGATTCCAGGCTCTTGACAGCGATCCCGCCCAATAGGTGGACATATAGTGAGAGATGAAAGGCCGGAGGGAGCACACTAACTCTTCCCCTAGGCTGTCTCTCCTGATCTGTGTTTTCTGCTTTCTAATTGCTGTAGCGTCCCAAGTCATCTACAAAGAATGTTGTGCTAACTCAAAAAGAAGAAAGGTAAGAGTAAAAACACAACACCCCTTCCCCTTCCCCCTATGCCTTAAAATCCAGAACGTGTCATGGAGCCTGGTCTCCAAGTGACAGAAGACCACGCCCCTGAGTGATGTGTCCCGTCTCCCAGGACACCAGCACTTCACCTCCAGAGGCCCCATTCCCCGCTGCAGGTCCCCTGGGGATGGCACTTGGCAGGGGCCACCTTGCCAGACTGCTGCAGGTGAACAGCCCTTGGGGTGCTGAGGACAGAGTGGCCTGGCGGCGGAGGGAGCTCAGGCCCCAGCCCTGGCTGCTTTTCCGGGTGTCCGAGCTGCTGTCAGCCTTCAGAAGAACCAGCTCCCAGGGCCTCCCTGATGGTGCAAGGGGTTAAGATGCAACCTATGAAGCTGTCTGCAGCCACTGCAGCATGAGTTCAATCCCTAGCCAGGGAGCTACCCACATGGCGCAGCAGACCTCTCCTGACTAGCCCACTGCTCCCCTCAGCAGTGTATTTCAGTCAATCTGCCTGTTCTGCTCCCCACTCTGTCTCTGGTGAATCCTCTCACCCCCCCACACTTCTGGCCTGTACCCCAGCTCTTGTGTGCATAAATAAATAAATCTTTAAAAAAAAAAAAAAAGAACCAGTCCAACCAGAGAGCCCTTGAGGCTGTGTGCTTTGCGGTGCCTGGCAGCCACCTGCCTACAGGGAGACAGGAGAGGGCTCAGAAATGGAGAGGGGGCAGGCAGGGTCTGTGGGAGTTGGGTAGGCCAGAGTGCCCCCTCCTCCAGGAAGTCTTCCCAATCCTCTCCAGATCTGAGCATCACTGAGCACAGCAGAGAACAAGTGCTCAGGAGGAGAAAGGAGACAGAGGAAGAATGGGGGACAACCTCCCTGCACCCCAGCTCCTGGGCCAGGAACAGGGTCTCATCTCGTCACTTCTACCACAAGAGAGAATTTCTGTCTTGCAAATGGGGAAGCTGAGGCTCAGGGAGTGTCACACGTACAACCAGGCCTGCCTGACTCTAAAACTCATGCTTGTGCCTGAAGGAGCAGCTGGAGAAATGGGTGGGCCCCTGTGCAACTCAGACCCCCAAACAGTGTCCCCTCGGGCCAGAGACTGGCCTAGTCCAGCGGTTTTGGACCCCCATGAGGGAATTGATAAACTGGGGTACTTCATGCAACGGACTATTACTCAGAGATAAAAAGAAATGCGTTATCAAGGCACAGAAAGACAGAAAAGAAATGCAAATGCATTTTCCTAAGTGGCAACAAGGGATCAGAAGAGGCTACATGATTCCATCGAGGGGACACTTAGGAAAAAGGACAAAGCAAGAGAGTGAAAAGCTCGGGAGAGTGGGGCCCCCTGGTGGCACAAGGGGTTAAGCTTGGCACTATCCAGCTATCAGCAGCCACTGCCGCAGGGCCAGGGAGCAATCCACAGGGCGCAGCAGACCTCTCCTGTCTCCCCGCTGCTCCCCGCAGCAGTGCATTTCAGTAGATCCGCCTGTTCTGCTCCCCACTCTGTCTCTGGTGAATCCTCTCACACACACACACATCCCCTCACCTCTGGCCTGCACCCCAGCTCTTGTATGCAAAAATAAATATTTTTAATGTACTCTTTTTATATAGAAAACATAGATGTGCGTATTGCACATAAACAGAAACAGAGCATAATTCAATTCCACAGAGGTGATTAGGGGACAAGGTCCAAAAAGTCTCCTTGGGGGACCACACAGAAAACTAACTAGAAAATCATCAGAGAGATGCCGTGGGGGATCTTGAAGAGGGGGTGAGCTTGAGATGGCTCTTTCCTGCCTTCCCCCTCCCCCAGTTCCATTCAAACCCAGAAATAACATCAGTCTAGGGTTTTACCGCTTTAAAAAGCAGTAATAAAGCTGGGGCCCATTCAGCATCCAGACTTCCGGCGGGATCCACCCCAACTCCCGGAAGAAGACAGGGGTATCGTGAGCTCTGCACGCAGACCGCCTGGGAGTCCTGTCCAAGGTCCTCCACCATGCGCTTGGGACCTTGGACAAGTCACGCGACCTGTCTCAGTCTCATCTGTATACTGGCTTGACAGCGGTAGGAGGGGTACCCCGGAGACGAGCCCAGCACGTGGTGAGCACACCGCAGATAGCCCCCATCGCAGCCCCTCACGGGCACAGCCTGCCTTCGACACCGAGGACCCCAGAGGTGCTGCCACACTGCAGCTGGCCAGGGCACAGGCTGCTAATCCAACAGAGAACCCCTGCGGACTTGAAGACATCCTGCTTGCAGACACTCACGCGTGCAGAGACGTGCCTCTGAGAATTCAGGGCTTCTCAGGCTTCATGCGAGTTTCCAAAATCCACCAGGACAGAGCTAAGTGCACAGCACGGGTTAAAAATGGCTGGAAAATTCTGGGTCTCTTGCTGTTGGGCTGACTCATCTACACCTCTGTCTCCTGCCCCAGCACCTGAGTCCTGTGCACACAGAACATGCCGTTTGTTGGGTGAAGCAGCCAAAATGTGGGGGCTCTTTAAGAGCTCACTCTCCCCACCTGGTCCCTTCTCTGTGCCCTTCTTTCCTCATAGACGAACCTTCAGTGTAGGCACCCTGTGCTGGGCAGGATGTCTCAGGTCAAAAGACTTTTGGAAGGACCCTAGGTATCTCCCAAACCTAAAACCAGAGCAGGGGCTGGAGGACAAGACTATTTCCCTCTATTTTCAGGGGTGAAATGTGATGCTTTCACCCCAAGGAGTTAACAACCCTTCTCTCCTGGATAATCGCTTCCAAATGATGGATTTGGAGCCCCCCCGGCCATCTGTTCTTGATTCTGGAGGCGCTGTCTGGCTAAGCTCAACATCTCAGTGTGGCCTCCACCTTCCCTTCCTTCCGCCTCATCTCCCAGCAAGCTGGCTGCTTGCAGAGAACACTTGGCAGGCAATTCAAGGTCATCCCAAAGGGGCCCTCGTCCTTACCTGTAAGTTTGGAGGAAATGGTGGTCCATGGGGATGTCTGAGCTGGAAGTACAACGCGCTGTGAAGTCAGATTCGTTCAGCTGGACTGAGGCCTGTGGGGAGGGGAGCTGAAGAAGGGGCAAGAGGGAGCAGGGGAGTGAGATGTTGAACCCCAGGGGGTAACTGGTTGGGGAGGGACTGATCCTTCAAGAAGTAGCCCAAAGCCCAGGTCCCTCAGGAAATGTAGAAACTTCTGTCCTCCCCAGGTGTTCTCCATGCCTCGATCTGACTCAGGACAGAAGTTTGCTTGCGAAGTGAGGACCCAGACACAGGCTAGGGGGACAGTTCTGGACCCCAGACGCCCTACATTCCCTGCTATTGTGCCTGCTCATGCCTCCCATGTCCACAGCGGCCTCCTATCTGACCCTGACGATGAACCAAGAGGCCCCAGGCTACTGGCTTTACAATTATCACCTCATTGAATTCACACCACTGCCCTCATAGGCTGTTGTTACAATATCACTTCCACAGGAGGGAAAACAGACTCCAGGAGGTTGAGTCGTTCACCCAAGTTCACACAACACATTAGCAATGGAGCCGGGATTTGAACTTGGAACGTCCTTGGTAAAGAGGACAGAAACAGCCCCCCCCGGCCCCCCCCCCGTGCCCCCTCAGCACCTAGTGCGGAACCAGCAGCAGCAGTGCACACTGTCCAAACCCACAGTCAGAACAGGGGCTGGAGGACAAGACAGTTTTCCTCCATTTTCGGGGGTGAAATATGATGCTTTCACCCCAAGGAGCTAACAATTCTTCTCTCCTGGACAATCACTTCCAAACAAACGAGTAAACAAACACACCTACAGCGTGCTATCTATTCACCCAGTACACAGGGGTCGTGTGGTGGGGTCACGTGGGGAGGTCTGGCCAATGCATGAGGGCAGGAGTGTCACGCAGGATTTAAGGACCTGTCTTTAACCCCTGTGCTACCAGGGAGGCCCCCTCCATCGCATCTTCACCCCACCCCTTCTTCGCTCCTGCCTCGCACCAAGCACACAACAGCACGTAGTCAGCCTCTCCTGTTTGTGTTGGCTGAGTTCCGTCTCTCTCTGGCCACAGAACGCATCCCTGGTGTGTCTCTCTAAGAGAATACATGCACACGGCTTCGTTTCAGCACCAGGTTGGAGGGGGAGAAAAGACGGATCTGCTTGAGGAGAAAAATAAATGAGGAGGTTTCAAAAAGGACAGACGGCCAAACTAAACTGAGCTAAGTGATCCCCAGCCACTCCGCTCAGGCCTGTTTGTTGTCAGGTGGGATTCTGGGTCCAGTGTGGTCAGATCTTCAGGGTTTTTTAATAGGAAGTAGGGATCTGGGTTTTACCCAAAATCTTATGATTTTAAAGGTTGACAATTAAAAAAAAAAAAAATTCCGTGCTAAGCAGCCAAACCAAGCACATCTGTGGGCTGGTGTTGGCCCGGGGCTGTGCTGCAATCTCCGGTTTACAGAGCTGCAAACACCACCGGGACGGCCGTGCAGGTGTTTGGGGTTGACCTGGAGCCTCGGTTCCCCCTCAGGAGCCCCTGGGACTGCACCGCAGCGCTGGGGCCATTCACAGCTCTGTGGAGCTGACAGGAAGTGAGAGGCAGAGCAGGTGTCGGCCTCAGCAGCCGGCCCAGCCTGGTCCTGTGGCCAGACCTTCCCACAGGGGCACCTATGAGCACCGGCCCACCAGCACCCTGCAATTCTGATTTATCTTCCTACTTGACTGTCCCACCAGCATGGGCCTCCACGAGACTCATCTCTCACCGTCCCTCACTGTTTTGTAGCCTCTGGCACGTCGTGGGGGTTTGGCCCACAGCTGTTGAGGAACTGAAGGAGGATCCCGAGCAATCCAGGACCCCGGTTCCATTCTGCTCCTGGGTCTCCAAGTCGCTCTCAAAGGAACCAGGGAGCCCAGCTTCTCACCCCTTCAGGAGACAGCGCACGGGTCTATGAGGCCGTGTGTGTGTGTTTGTGTGTGGTGCACACACGAGCACACACATGCACGTGCCCACCTCCCCTGCTTTTCACTGACGGCTGAGTCTCTCCGCTCTGCTCTGTCCCTCTCAGTGGTGTCCCGGCGGCAGCTTCTCCTGGTCTCTGCCCAGGCCGATGGGTGGCGGGGCAGGGTTTCTCAAAGCACAGCCTGTGACGGGGGCTGGTCAGAGAAGTTCTCCCCCGTACTGGGACCTTAGTAGAGAGAGAACACTCACACACAAGCCGGGCCAAGGACTCGGGGACCGCCTGTCCCTGCCCACTCGGGGAGGGCCCTGCAGTGTGACCCGCCCCCCGCCACACCAGCCTTAAACCCTGTGGGCTCTGACAGACCCAGCTCCAGTGTCCTGTGTCTAGGAGCTCATCTGCCTCAGTTTCCTTATCTCACATGGGTTGACACACAGGACCCAAGGAGGGACCTGGCCCAAGGCCGCTTGTGGCCTTACCTGAGCAGGCTTTGGAAAGTTCCAGAGTTCCAGTGTTAGCATCATTGTGGACAGTTAGACCTGGAGTTTCTCAAAGGATGAACATTTCCAGGCTTGGGCAGCCTTGGGGAGAGCACAGAAAGGTCTGCAGGGAGGGAGGCAATTAGCACTGTGCATTTAGCAAGCAACTGGGGATTCGGGATTCGGGTGCCCAGAGGCGTTCTGAAAATGACTTGTGTGGTCTCTGCAATCAGGCAGCTGGGACTTTAGGAGGAAAAGGCGCTCCCAAGAGCAGAGCTGGGAGGAGAAACCGTGTCTATACAGCAAAAATCCCAGCCAGGGTTCCAGAGTCTCGGCTCTGGCTAGCCGGGAGAAGGCCCCAGAGAGGGAGGCATCACCCAGGCTCGCTGCACAGGTGCTGGGTCTGGCTCACCAGGGGCGGGGCTGCAGCTGCGGCTTGGATCCTTGCGATGGGGAGAAGGCGCAGACCCCATTTGAGCAGCGCATGAGAGATTTAACTTCTCCCCAAAGGGGGCAGACACAAAACTTCCACAAGGTTAAGGGGCTTCAATGGACCCACTCAGTCCCAAGCAGACCCCTTGGCTAAAAAGCCTGAAAAGTACCTACTAAGAAAAATGCATACACCCTTTGCTCAGGGAATTGACCCTCAGGGAGAAGGGGGTTCACAGCAGAAGATGCGAAAGAGCAAAAAGTGGAGGAAGCCCAGAGACTTTCACTATGGAAGCAGCAAAATAAATCCCACTGACTGAGGCAGCGTTCACAACACATGGGGGACATTCTTATTTTTGAAACAATTTTTTTAAATATTTATTTATGCATACAAGAACTGGGGTGCAGGCCAGAGGTGCAGGGGTGAGAGGACTCACCAGAGACAGAGTGGGGAACAGAACAGGAGGGCTGAGTGAAAGACACTGCTGAGGGGAGCAGCGAGGAGTCAGGAGAGGTCTGCTGCGCCATGTGGGTAGCTCCCTGGCCGGGGATGGAACTCGTGCTTCAGTGGCTGCCAATAGCTTCATAGCACTGAGACTTTAACTCCTGCGCCACTAGGGAGACCCCACAAAACCTTTTCAAGAGCCTTCGAAAAACTCAAGCCCTGAAGCCAGCTTCCAGGGCTCTGCCCGCCGTCTCCCTACACAGCTCCGAGCTCACGCAGCTGGTTTCCCAGAGGCTCCCCTCAGATGGGGGCTCTCTACCCCTTGCAGGCCCTGCATCAGCCAGTCGGGTCTGGGTGGCAGGATCCCAGCCTGTCCAGTCCCCCACCCCCAGCAGCAGAGGACCCCAGGGGCATTGGAATGCTAATTCCAGCTCTCAGCTGAGGGTCCCCGTCTGGGGGAGAACAATGCTTGTCTTTATACCACCAGGCCCTTCAGCTTCTAGTCTCCTGTGGGAGAGGGCCTGGGGCCCCGTGGGAACTGGAGGCTCCCCCACTTAATCGCTTCCCTGGCAGGTGTCCCCAGATGAGTCAATGTCACAGGATGAGCCGAGGCTTCACTATTCCCTCTCAATCAGGGCCCCAGAGGCATCAAGACCACCCAGGCCCACCTGGGTGACGGAGGCTAAGAGTAGAAAATTCGGGATGGAGGCACCCAGGACCAGGAGCTGGAGGTGGGGGTAGACGTGATTAACACAGCCGGTAAACCAGCGAGAGAACTGAAAATCTTTAGGAGCAGACCAGAGGTGGGATACGGGGATGGAGGCCTTTGCAGAGACTCCCTGGTCCTTACAAATCCACCTCGTCACACCCTCCAAGTCATTCATTTAACAATAGATAATAATTAGACAATTGCACAAAGGAATGAATCCCTCCACAAAAGAAGAAAACCTCAAAACAATTTCTTCCTCACCCTGTGTCTTTTCTTTGAAAAGACACATAAGTGGTTTTCAGATTATGAACAGGAAGACGGTCTTGCAGGTCTCTCCTGTGTGCAGACCTGTCCCCCAGCTGCCCAGCGTCCAGCTCTCCGGGTCTCGGGAGATGCTGGACGAAGACCCACCCACACCTGCCTCCCACCCACCCACACCCGCCTCCCTCCCGGGAGCCCTTCCCTGGCAGACGTCGTGGCCTGTACCCAAAGCCTCAGGACAGGGAGCTCCCAGCGGCCCCCCAGGACTTGGCTAGACCAAGACTAAAGTCCCGGCCACCTTCAGTTGGGGCCACCGGTGCTGGGATCTCCCTGCCTAGCCCTGGGCCTCCTCTGCCTCGAGTGCCCCCCACCTGCTGCACCTCCCCCTGCAGTGACCTTTAGGGTTAACCGTCCCTAAGTCCGGCTGGGCAACCAGCGCGCAGGGGGAGAACAGCATAACACCCTGAAGCAGAGGAAGTGCAGCGGAAGTTCCCTGAAAAGGCAGAAGCTTATCAAAAGATAACAACCACCAGGAACCACTACAAGACAAACTTTAATCCCTTATCTGTCTTTCTAAACTTCCTCCTTTCTTCTATAATGGCCATTGTTTGTTCTGTAGATCACCTCCCTGATGGTGATAGACTGAGCCCATGAGCAAGCTGATTTCTTTGATATTCATTCCTGTGCTTTTGGAAAACATATATATACTGGTCACAAACTCAAAGAAAATGACACTCAGATTTTCACTCTTGAAGTGTGTCTGTTTGTCATTTCTTTCACCGACGCCCTGACCCCCCTGCACGCTTCTCTCAACCCTGACATGGCCTCATCGTCTACTGCTGTGCTGGTCCTCGGCACCCACCCAACTTGACCTCATCACAATGCAGGTGCAAAACAGGCCACCTGCAGCTTGGCCACCTGCAGCTCCCACCAGCGCCTCTGTCCCTCCCAGGGTGCTGCCTGTGGGTGGGGCCAGAAAGGCCAGTGGGGACCCTTCGTTCTGCCTTTACTTCCACAAGCCACCTGCTGAGCAGCCCACGGCCACTGTCACAGCTGGCCCAGCCACTCATTCTCAAAGACATGCTGTCCCCCCAATTTGCAGCAGCCACCCCAACTCCAGAAGGGTCAGCTCCATCCCTGCAGCTGGTAGCTGTCTTTCCCACCGTCACCTGAGTCACCGGGCTCAGGCACACTGTAGCGGCAGGAAGGACCACAGGGCAGGTTTTCTGACCCAGCAGACCGGGTCAAGGAGGAGTCAGGGTCCTCAGTGGCTTTTGCAGGTCTTTTATTGGGACTTACCAGGCACACGGCAGGCAGGGGTGCGGGGGCCGGGAGGCTGGCAGACCTCCCAGCCCCCAGCAGGTCTTCACTCTATCTGGGCTCTCCGGCCTTCTCTCTCACTTGGCTTCTGTTTTGCTTCTCTGCTCCTGTCTCGGCTTCTCCTGGCGTCCCCGTGACGCCGCCCTTAAAAGCCCAGTCTCGGCCCAGGTGAATCCCATCTCCCTAGGCCCACACCCTGCTCCAGGTGCCGCCCGCCCTCAGGCATGCATTCAGGACTGCAAGGATCCTTCATCTATCCTGATGGCGGGAGGGCAGAAAAGCCTGACTTTTTGTCCTTACCCCACACACACACCATGAGGACTGCCGCCAACAGGTGTGCGCGCACTACCTCTCACGCGGCTGGTTGCACACAGCTGGCGCTGAATGAATGCTGTGACTTGGGCTCCTTATGTTATAGAGCAACCCCGATATTAAACGGGTTCCTGGCTGTGGGTCCTCACCCGCGCGCTTTAAAGGGACTTATGAATACTCTACTACAGACACACGCAAAAGGGTTAATAAAAGGTTTATTTACAAGAGAAAAAGAAATAAGGAAAATGTACAACTCAGGGAGAAAATAGGGAAATAAAGTCTTTAATGCGTCCTACCCGATCCGACGACCTGGAAACCCCAAAGTCACTCTCAGAGCTAGACGGACGCCGCAAGCTGGCCGAGGGCCCCAAAATGGAGAGAGCCCCCAAAGCCCACGTGTCTGCCTTTTGTATCCACCTGGCTGCTTAACCCCACCCTCAGGTCCCAGCCACCTTCCCTTTGGTGGTGATGGGATTTGGAGTTCCCAGTGTCTTTGGCTTTGACCTGGGGTGGGGGTGGAGTCCACAAAGCCTGTATGGAATTTGCTTTGGGGCAGCCTTTTCCCCCTAACACTGGGGTGGGGGTGGAGTCCACAAAGCCTGTATGGAATTAGCTTTGGGACTGCCTTTTCCCCCTAACACTTACTCTTCAAGACGGGATCTGTTCTGTGTCCCCTTCCTGTTTTTCACCCCACCCTCTCCTGCACTCCTGGGTGATGCTCTTGGCCACCCCAGATGCTGCCCCCCACATCAAAACCAGGGGATCCCCTCTGAAGAAGGGCAGGCTGAGCAATTTGCTCTCCATTGAGCCCAGACCTGGTTTTGTTTTCAAAAAATCAATCTTGTCTCCCGCCCGCCAACAGAGAGGAGGGGTGAGCCGGTCCCCCAAAGAGGCCCTTGGCCCTCCCAGGGGCCACCGAGCTTCGAGGTGTACTGTAGCAGCCCCACGAAGTAGTTTTCAGGAATTCACCCCAGCCCATCACTCTCCACCTAGGGGACCTCACCTATGGAACAATTAACTTCCTCTGAGCACTATAAACACAGGACAGCTTCCCTGTGCCCTCTGGGGCTGGTGTTGCCAGCCTCTGGAGAGAAGCACAGGCTTACCTTTGCTGGGGCAGTGCCCAGTCAGGGGGTGGGAGGGCAGCCTGGGAGCCAAACTGGAGGCACTGGGCCCATCTGGTGGCATTCTGGCATTTTGTGAGTTTCAGCAGCACCTTGGTTAGGACACAGACCACAGGCCAATGGTTCTTAGGGGGACGCTGGGGTTGGGGGAGGTTTATGCCGAAAACCTGGGTATGGTTAAGGGTTCTGAGAAATCTCCAGGAGAGGCTAGATTTAGAAGGCTAGACTGTGTGTTCAACAGAAGAGGATCTGCCACTTGCTCATACCCAACTGCACTGGTGCCCAAGACTGGACACACACCAGCTGTATGTCTTCCCTTTCTATGCTTTGCAACCAGGCCCAGCTGTGCAGTGCACAACCTGCCCAACCGTACACAGCAGCCTGATAGCAAATACCTGGACCATGAAGGATCTGGGCAAGAAGAGGAGGTCCCAGGGACCAAGGCCCAGGGAAGACTCTGGCCTGGAGCGGGAGAGGTCACTTACCTCAAAGCTCGTGGTCTGAGCCAGACG